CCGCCCGGTCCCTGCTCCTGCCGTCGCCTCCGCTGCCGGCTCTGCTGCTGAGCCCCTGGGTCGTCTCCTCGGGTCCCCTCCCTCTCCTCTCTCCTGTCCGAGGCATGGGGGGGGGGGGATTAATATTCCCCTCCCATCCCTGCCCCCTCCGGTCCCTGCTCCTGCCGTCGCCTCCGCTGCCGGCTCTGCTGCTGAGCCCCTGGGTCGTCTCCTCGGGTCCCCTCCCCGGTGGCTCTCCTGTCCGAGGCATGGGGGGGGTGGAGGGGAGTGGTGGGGGTGGTGTCACGGAGCCCTAGCGGGGCTGGGGCTGGGTTTCAGGGGGCAATGGGGCTCCCTGTGATTTTGGCTGCTTCGCTGGCCCTGCTCCAGGCGGGTTCCTCTGTCCACGGGGCATTTCTGCGGCTGCTTTGGGGTGTTCCTGCAGCTCTGGGGGTGCCAGAGCGGCACTGCCAAGACACCCCATGTGCCCGGTGCTTTGTCCCACGCAAAAGCCCACCTTGATGCTGCGTGTGCGGAGTACAGGTATGGGGAGGATGCTCTGGTGTCCCCTTGCAGCACTTGGACACACTGGGTGAACCCCTCTACCCACAGAGATGCCCCCCCCCCCAAATGTGATGGGGACCCCAGGCTAGCCTGGAGGGTGGCTGCCCCCCATGAAGGGCCGTGCTGGCCCCGAGGTGGGTCACAGCAGGTGCCTGCGGCCAGGCCCTGGAGATGGGCTCCTCTCACCGCTGTGGGTCTGGCTGTCCCATGCAGGGAAGTTCAAGCTGCTGGACCAGGACCGGGACATCCGCGAGCCCGTGCAGTACTTCAACAGCGTGGAGGAGGTGGCCAGCATCTTCCCAGACCGCGTCTTCGTCATGGAGGCCATCACCTTCAGCGTGAAGGTGGGTATGGGGACAGAGGGGACAGCAGGGGACAGTGGTAGGATAGCAGGTGAATGTCAGGGAGTGGTGGTGAGGCAGCAGGGGATGGTGGTGGGACATCAGGGGTTGGTGGTGGGGCATCAGGGTGCGGTGGTGGCACATTACAGGATGGTGGTGGGACGCCAGGGGACAGTGCCAGGGCAGCGGGTCCCATGGTGGGGCTGTCCCGGGACAGGTGGTGTCGGGGGAGTTCAGCGAGGACAGCGAGGTGTACAACTTCACGCTGCACGCGGGGGACGAGCTGACGCTGATGGGCCAAGCGGAGATCCTCTGCGCCAAGACGGTGAAGGAGAAGTCGCGCTTCAACACCATCCTGCGGAAGCTGGGCAAGGCGGCGCCGGCGGTGGGGGCCAGGCAAGTGAAGGGCAAGATGCCCTGCCTGATCTGCATGAACCACCGCACCAACGAGAGCCTCAGCCTGCCCTTCCAGTGCAAGGGCCGCTTCAGCACCCGCAGCCCCCTCGAGCTGCGGCTGCAGGAGGGCGAGCACACCATCCGCAGCATCATCGAGAAGGTGCGGCTGCCCGTCAACGTGGCCGTGCCCAGCCGCCCTGCGCGCAACCCCTACGACCTGCACGCCATCCGCGAGGGCCACTGCTACAAGCTGGTCAGCATCATCTCCAAGACGGTGGTGTTGTGCTGCATCCTCCGCCGGGACGAGCTGGTCCCCTTCCACTTCCTCCTGCTGACTGACATGCCCCGCTTCCAGCTGCCCGAGGGGCTGCTCGCCGGGGACCCCCAGCTGGAGAAGCTGCTGCGGGACAGTGCCGCATACTGCCACGACCGCTTCAACCCCGATGAGTACTCACGGGCCGTGCGGGAGGCCAAACCTGACTTTTCGGAGGAGTGCGCCAGCCCCCGGCGCCTGCGGCTCTGCCTGCCTGCCTGCGCCCGTGAGGAGCTCAGCCAGCCCCTCCAGCGCCTCTCCCTCTGCGCCTGCACCACGGGGGTCCCCCGGGAGCCTGTCGCCCGCTGCCAGGGACCACGGGGCGTCGGGGGGGGCACCCCGCGCCCGCCGCTGCCCGTCCCCGACCCCGACCGGGAGTACATGACACCCGACTGGGCCGAGCCCGAGTTCAGGACTCAGGAGCCGCTGGAGATCCCCTACGAGGAGCTCTGGAGCAACCCCAGCCCGGAGGGCTGCTGTGAGCCCGGCAGCGGCGCCGGCCGGCAGGACCTCGTCTCCTTCGGGCGGTAAGAGCCGCGGTCCTGTCCCCAGGGATGGGGAATGACGCCCCTGGGGTCCCACCTGCCGCCAGCCCTCCTGGCCAGGGGTGATGCACTGGGATAGCTGGGCAGCGAGCCCCAGCACGGGCCCACCAGCAACCCTGCGCTGTGGGCAGGGGGTGCACAGGCCAGGGTGGTGCTGTCAGCCCCACGGCACAGCCAGCCCGACCCTCCCCGGGTGCTGCGGGGCTCTGGGCTGGGAGCCCCTGTCCCCTGGCTCCGGGGTCCCCCCCCAGCTCTGTTTGGTCACCCAAATCCTCTGGGCTCCCCGGCACCACAGGGTACCTGGTTCCCCAGGGCTCCCCATCACCAGGGGGTACCCAAATCCTCAGGACACCCTTGTATCATGGGGTACCCAGTTCCCCAGGCTCTCTGCACCATGGGGTACCCAAATCTCTCAGGCTTCCCACCACCGTGGGGGTACCCAAAGCCTCTGGGCTCCCCTGCACTGTGGCTTTTGGAGTCCTTAGGGCTCCCCTGCACCATGAGGTACCCAAATTTTTGGGCTCCCCTTCACCATGAGGTACCCAGTTCCCTGGGGCTCCCCCACCCCGTTGGTACCCAGAGCTTCGTGGCTCGACCGGGGCTGGCTGCCCCCGAGCCCCCCATCGCCCTCTCCAGCCGCGGGGTCCTGGGGGCAGATCCCCCGGCATAGGTGATTGG